TGGCAAGTGCACTAGAATATCATATCCGGACAATAATAAAATTTGGAACCTCGTCTATCGCTCAGGAATGAAACTAAGCGAAGCAGGTACTTTGCGGGTCCTGAAGAAACAAATAGCGATATCAAAAAGCAATGCAGATAGCACAGTTCTGCTCCGGAGCGATAGCAGAAAACAACCTGAAAAAAAGAGCTGTCAAAATGGGCAGATCCGTCACTGCGTATAGGCGCTCACATACATGCAACTCAGACCTCGATCTCGCGTGGAACCCTAAAAAAAGAAAAAGGAAAAAGACGACGACGACGACGTAAACATCATTCAACGTTTGGATCAGCGAAACACACCACCCATGATCAGTGAATTAAATGAGGAGGCCGCTGTTATACCACATCCTGTACAGTAGCGATAAAGTACAGACCCATGTTTATGAATGTTGAAACGTGTCGTCGGCGCTTTCCTGCGGACCGCCGGTGGTGTTTAACGGTGCCAACAGTGAGGAAGGGTTTTTCATATACTCAATCATCAAGAAGAAGCCGCAATGCCTCCGAATACAGCGTAGCATCAATATGGAACTCTTGATCTAGCTGAAATCTGAGGGCCAGCGGTGTTGAAAAACTCACAATTCGCACCAATTATTACATCGACTCGAGAGTAAGGGTTGGATGCAATGCTATAAGTACCCGAACTCTCTCCAGCAAACCGGTCGTTTTCAAGCATTCCCTTGTCATCCTTGAGCAAAGAATATCGAACATTTCTCGACCTCGCAAGCTACTCTCCTCCAGTAGGGACTGACCCGACCCCGAACTCCCATGCACTTGTGATCGAACTGACCTGTTGTATCGCTCCTAGTCTGTCTATGCTCGACACTGAAATCTATTAACGGCAGGTAAGTTTAGTTGCCCGATCATTTGAGACCATGCTAACGTGGAAGATATTTAATATCAGCTCCGTCTCTGTTCCTCTGGGGATTCAATCAAAGGAACTGGAATGTTCTCGATAATAAATCCAGATTGCCAAGACAGTGAGTAATTAAGAGCCCCATAAGCTATCTACTGATGGTTTATCATAGATCGAAACCATCCACTACCAAGCCGACTCGACCAAACTTGAATGCCGCGCGCAGCAGTAGCTGGCAAAGTAAGTTTCGATCACTATGGAAGTTTCGAGAGTAGTCAAATTAGCCTGTTCTGAGGACTCTTTGTATAGGAAGCCGATTGTTTTACCATGAGCCAGCCCATGTCTTGTAAATTGCCCCATGCGTTGCCACTGCCTATTCCCAACGCCCAGTACTGCATATTGAATTTCAGTACGAACGCTATCTGTTTGTGGCTCCTTGTTCTTCAGAAAATATCGCTGATGTCTTTTTCTCGTCATAGGGTGAATATCAATATTGCACTCGACACGACCGAGCCGTATTCCCCTATCGTCCTTGAAACTAAGCCAGCTGCACCAGCCTAATGGGCCAATCCACTGGCTCCCAGTATGCCTGCGCCTTCGTTATTTCTAAAGACTTAGTTGAGACGGCCACTTCGCCTGGCAGATTTAGCGGGCCCAATTCAGGAAGGCTTTGTGCGCTCCGGTTAGCCATATGGTAAGATTCCAAAGTGTTTTCATCTCTCCAGAATTACCCTGTCCGATCAAAGGTTAACTGTCACTGCATTAAGAACTTGTAGTATTCCGATCGCTATGAACCTCTTGTCCCACGTCCGATCCGAAGCTTCGTTCGGCAGCCATGACCCGGTCCCATGCTAGGCCGAGCGAGCCATCGCAGCATCCGACGACAACAAATAGAAGCCTAGCGTCGACGACCGCCGTGAAACCACGGTTTACAAAGGCAGAACCAGCCAATGATGCATTAAATTACCGACCACGAGCCGAGGGCCAGCACTGTCAGGCCTGGTTGTAGCTGAGCAAGCGACAAGCTAGGCCGCAGCACTGGATCTACCACAGATCCCTCGCCGCGAGAGCAGTCGTTTTCAGGTCAGTTCCTTAGTTTACCTGAGACAAAATACCATGAATCTCTCCTCCAGTGAAACTTTCTCCTGACAAGCTCGAAGATTTGCCTGGCGCACGAACAGCAAATACGAAACGGCTATGCATTGGAAGATAAGGCCCACATCCATTCCCCGCGGTACGGAGTGATCCCGGGCCCTCTGACGTGTGATCGAGCTGAGCCCGCTAACTCGTCTCTGGCTTGCCTATGCTGATGCCAGACTATATTGACGGCAAGTCTATATTACCCTCAGTGACCAGAAATCATGCTGACATGGAGAGGCAGTGATGGTTCGGCCGGTCCCAAGAGTCCGATCGGGATACTGTTTGTGGCTGGTATTGGAAATCTCATCTAGGCCGTCAGCAATGTAGGTTGCGAACACCCCTCTTGCGCCAGCTGCTGATAATTGGTGCTAGATCGAGTGTATCCGACGGCGAATTGCTTTGGCCGTGTCCTAATGCAGCTGGCGATTCAAACCTGCCGCCATGGCCTATTTCATGAACGAAGCTGGCAAGTACGTTCTCATTACTGAAAGTTTGGGGTAACCAACTGGCCATGTTGTCAAAATCGCTGATATGAATATGACAGTTTCCTCCCAAATGTCGCCGCGAGTCGGCCGAATGCTCCTTTCTCGATAGCTGTTTCCTGAATACGAGAAATGAAAGAGCGATCGTCACTTGGCAGAGAAACCAAAAGTTTGTTAATGAAGTGCTCGACTGGGAAAGGAGGAGTGGAGCGACTTTTCAAGCAGAGAAAATAGCCATCATACACTTCGCCCCCAAGGCCTACAAATGGGGCCAGGAGCCTTTTACCATCAAGGGACAGACCGGGTGGGTCGAAAGACCATGTCAAGATCCTTGGCGTCTTGATGGACACTAGACCCAAGCATAAGGAACATACTGCAAGGGCAGCGGCCAAGGGCCTCGAGGCGGCGATGGAGCTCCGACGACTTCGAGGTCTCTCCTCAGCAACAGCGAGACATTTATTCACATCGACGGTAGCCCACGTGGTTGACTACGCCTCCAACGTCTGGATGCACGCGGTCAAGGATAAAGCAATCGGACCTATCAACCGGGCCAAAGGGTAGGAGCGCAATCGATTGTAGGGACATTCCTCAAAGTTGCGACCAGCGTAGCAGAGGCGGAGGCCCACGTTGCCACTGCACAACACCGGTTCTGGAGACGGACCGTGAAGATGTGGACGGAAATCCACATCCTGCCCGAAACCAACCCCCTCTGCAGGAATACGGCGCGGATCAAGAAATTCAGAAGATACCACCGTTCGCCGCTGTATCAAGTAGCAGACGCGCTGAAGAATATGTAGATGGAGACACTGGAGACGATCAACCCGTTTACGTTAGCCCCATGGGAAGAACGAATACAGACCGATATTCATGAAATCCGAGCGACACAGACTGAAGCAGGCGGATGCATGCAGATTGCAGTCAGCAGTTCGGCACGGAACGAGCTGGTAGGATTTGGAGTCGCGATCGAGAAGCAGCCACCTCGGTACCGAAAACTGAAATTGAAAACTTTCTCCGTCACACTGGGCACCAGAGCAGAACAGAATCCATACTCCGGAGAGCTGGCAGCAATGGCACATGCATTGGACAAGCTACCGGGACTGAAACAGTACAGAATCACGCTTCTCGTGAGCAACAAAGCGGCGGCTCTCACTCTGAGGAACCCTCGACAACAGTCAGGCCAGGAGCACATCTGCCAGATATACAAGTTGATCAATAGACTACGGAGGCACGAGAACCACATCAACATCCGTTGGGTTCCGACCAGCAGAGATCATCAGTTGCTAGGCCTAGCGAAAGAGCAGGCGCGTGCTGCGACGGAAGAGGACGCTACCCCACAAGCACAGGCCCCCCGAATGAAGTCAACCACACTGAATATCGCACGGTCCCAGGCCGCAGCCAGCAAAGGCCTGCCAGAGAACGTAGGGACACATTCCAAACGAGTGGATGCAACGCTTCCAGGGAAACACACTCGACAGCTGTACGATCCATTGTCAGGGAAAGCAGCGAGCGTGCTAGCTCAACTCCGGACTGGCATGGCTAGAACTAAATGGATACCTCTATCGGATCAACGTCGCAGAGACAGATCAGTGTGCATGTGGACAAGCAAGAGAGATCGTGGAGCACTTCCTCTTTCAATGTCGGAAGTGGACCACGCACCGGACGGAAATGCTGCAATGTACCCATACTCACCGAGGCAACATATCCTTTTTCCTAGGCGGAAAATCGCCTTTGGATGACCAGAACTGGAAGCCGATCTTGGAAGCAGTGCGAGCCTCAATACGGTTTTCCATCGCTACGGGCCGACTCGACGCCACCTAAACTGGCCGACGAACACAGACAGACAACTCACCCCCCCCTCAAACTGACCCCCAACACCTTGTGCCAGAGACGGTAGACGTGCTTCAATTGCCGAGAATACGATGTTGAACACTTGAAGAAGCGCCTTCAAGCCAGCCTACTAACAAAGTTACTAACCCGCGGGGACCCACCACCATATCGATAGCTGAGATGACATATACTGAAAGGAACAAGTATGGGTTCTAAGGAGATACAGCATATAAAAGGACATGGACATGTATTGGTATATTAGTGATAGTTACCCTTTCGGTTTAGCCGCCGGGCGTTAATAAATTGTGTGTGCGAGTGTGTGTGTGTGTGCGAGTGTGTGTGTGTGTGCGAGTGTGTGTGTGTGTGCGAGTGTGTGTGTGTGTGTGTGAGTGTGTGTGTGTGTGCGAGTGTGTGTGTGTGTGCGAGTGTGTGTGTGTGTGTGCGAGTGTGTGTGTGTGTGTGCGAGTGTGTGTGTGTGCGAGTGTGTGTGTGTGTGCGAGTGTGTGTGTGTGTGTGTGTGTGTGTGTGTGTGTGTGTGTGTGTGTGTGTGTGTGGGTGTGTGTGCACATAACAGACAGAGAATGGGGTTAAAGATGAGTGACAATTGTGGCTCTTTCTCTAGATTTGCTGAAGATGTAGGATTCCTTTCATAATCATCTAAATGAAGAAAATGTCGTCCCCTGTATCCCTGTTATCAGCCCCTTCTTGGCGAGGCTCGATGGGCCCATGAGATGACTTGAGTCCAGTAGACGGCAGTTGTGTGATGGTCTGTCCCCGGCTCTTTTCATGAAATAAACTGCTGTCCATGAACAAATAATTCTCCCCAGGGAGGCGAAAAGCGTCGTCAAATCCTCCGAGGGGACTCCGGATGGGAGAGCTTTCATCATAGGCTGTGTTGTGCGTGAGTGTGGAATCTAAAGCGATGCACTGTCGAACTTCCAGGTCAAAGTGGACCTTTGCGAGATTCTTTGACGGAAACTGGGGCCAGATACGCCTGGACCACTCCCTTGTGAAGCGGGTTGCGGACGCAGCCATACGCGACAGCGGGTATTGGGGACAAGGCAATCTGGACCATGCCCAAACGCCACCAGTTTTGAGAACCTCTTTTTCAAGGACAAGTGGTCCATTTGTCGGGCTTTCGGGGCCAAGCGGTGTACAGAATGCGAAAAACAGCTGTGCCCTTCGTTTTGGCGCTGGTCTGATGGCAGATCGCAACTCTGAGCATTCGTGGGATATTTGGGATGCTGCCGCTCGCGCCGCGTGTGGATTATGTGACGGATCAGTGGACTTCCATGGGCCATAGAGCCAAGTAATGTCGCTATCTTTCTCCCTAACAAACGAATTGTTAAAACTGGGCTGACTGCGCTCAATCCGACAAATTCAGAATTGACTAACCAACTCACACAGTCGGGTGACACAGTATTCAGCTGCTGTTGGTGCTTCGTCCATGTCCTCCATAGTGCATTCTCAAGTCTGGTGCTGTTCTTCAAGGCCTTTTTCTCCCTAAGTACATACCTTCTTGTCGCCCAAATATCCTCTTCTCTCCATACGTTCGAAAGATAATCGACGTTGATCACCGGCTCTTCTGCCAGGGCATTGTCATCGCAGAAAAGTTTTAACATGGACTTCATACAAAGGGAACAAAGCTCTCTGCATAGAGTGGCTAGAGAGGAACAAGAGAGAGGGGGACAGGGGTTTGCAAAACAAACACAGACCGCATACTCTTGAACAGGCTATGTATGAGCGCCGCCAAGCTCGGATTTGGAATGCTCGCAGGGTTAGCCAGATGGCGAGTCTAGCAATATTCTTGGTTGCCCCTCAATGCCTTTTTAAGGTGGTACCTTCTAGCATAATTCAACATGAGAAAGGAGAACCGGATTTGCTGTATTACTGTTTTCAGCCCCCAAGTTGCTGGGTTCGGGCGAATTTGTTTCCGGATCCTGCTGCACGGTGCACCTAGTGTTCAATTTCAGTTCCCATGATGTGACGTAGGATATGAATGCAGGAATTCTGAAGAATCGTAACCACAGCCAAGGACCGTAGCGCACAGACCATATATTACAGATTTTTAACCCTTCGCTCTTCCCGTAAAGGTTGGCATGATCGCTAACCAAAAACGGTAACCTTGAATTCATGTGGAAATTAGTATGGAAAGAAGACCTAGTAGTCTAGAGTCAGATTAGGATTATGGATACCTGGAAAACCATCACTTTTGATCACAATTATTACCCTATAATAGAGAAGGTGTCGCCCAAGGCGTATTTGGCTGTTTTCATGCGTGGCATACTGCCGTGCATCATATTCGTCTGTTCAGTTTACCAGCCTTGAGAAGATGGTCGGGATCTCGATGATTGATTCCCGATGGCCACCATGATGGCTTGTTAGTCTCCGGATCAAATATTCTTTTTGTTGTAGTTCAGAGGTATATATCGTTATTGTATTCTAGAGGGAAAGATGAGGCTATATATACAACGTGTAGCCAAGTTGATTTCCAATCAATTTGGTCTTCTGTATAGACACCATGGAGTTAATTCCGATGGTTCGACTTAGTTCCTGATCTGCACCAGCCTCATATCACAACATTCCCCCTCAGGATCGTTTTGCTAGCAGGGCGATACTGGACTCGCGCAGAGCAGTCAGGCCTCAGTAAAACCACTCAAAACCCACGCTGGGAAAATAAAGTGGAAAGAGCGCCTGCGCTGTCACGCGGTTTGTCTCGAGGTCTCTGGAGCATCGACGCCTAAGAGACTACAAAACTTGGCAAATGCCATAGGTCCCAATGGCTTGGTGAGACCGTCCGCGGCCTGTTCCCCAGTTGGAATAAATTGAAGCTCAATCTCGCCTGCATCCAGCACGGCTCGCTGATAGTGAAATTTCACATTGAAGTGCTTCGTCCGTTTGTGGAACTCGGGATTGCGAGAAAGCGCAATGGCGGACTGGCCGTCAGCCATGATGTTAGTGACCGGAGACCGATACAGTTGCGTTTCAGCTAGAAAGGTGCGGAGCCACTGCAGGTGCAGAATAGAGTTGTACTGTCCGATGTATTCGGCATGTGTCGTAGACGTGGCCACTTCCCCTGTCTCTTGGACGACCAGGAAACTGGCGCGCCTGCAAGCTGGAATACATAGCCAGACGTCGAGTATGCACCGTCAGTAACGACAGAGCCCCCGAAGTCGGCGTCTGTATACCCGATTAGCTGTCCACTGCGGTAGGTGAGACGATGAGACTGTGTGGCTTGAATGTAGCGAAGCAGTCGCTGCAGAGCAACTTGGTGGTGTGCTTGCGGCTGAGACGTGAAGCGACTCAACGTGCCCAGTGCAAACGCAATATCCGGTCGCGTGCCAACCATCAGATACATCAACGAACCGATGGCAGTCGCATAACGAGCTTTTGCTTCCTCGTCCAGAAGTGCTTCGTCTGGACGATAATTCAATATCTGCTTGGGATTCACCGGCGTAGACTTCGGCTGACAAGTCTCCATGCCAAAGTCGGAGAGCACCTTCTGGATGTACTGGTGTTGGTGAATAGACACGGAATCGTCAACGTGATAGTCGAATTGAATTCCGAGGAACGATCGCGGGGTGCCCAAATCGTTGAGCCGGAACTCTGTCTGCAATGCTTGTTGCACTTGTTCTATTTCGTGCGTGTTTGCCGCAGCAATGAGAAAGTCATCGACATAAATGCAAACGACGCAATTCGGTTCGTAGAACACAGAGTTATCCGACTGAGCCATGGTGAAGCCATGAGAACCGAGGACGCGGTGGACGCATTGGTACCAAATCCGCGGGGCCTGCTTCAGCCCATACAGTGAACGTCGCAGCCGACACACGTACCCTGGTTTTTCAAAACCTTCGGGCAACTCCATATAGATAGACGAATCGACGTTTCCATGAAGAAATGCGGTGATCGCATCGAATTGGTGAAGCTTCCATCCGCGTAACACGGCACTGGCGACAATGCAGCGGACCGAGTCCATCCGGGACACCGCAGCAAACGTTTCGTGGTAGTCAATGCCATGTTGCTGCCGGTAGCCTTTGATGACCAATCGCGCTTTGCGTGTTCCGTTGGCCTTGGTCTTGAAGACCCATCTGCAGCCAATCACATGGTCTCCAGCTGGGACATCCTCTCGTCGAACCTTTTCCCATGTTCCGTGTTCGAGAAGCGACGCATATTCTTTCTGGATGGCAGCCCACCATTCCAACTGGTTTGGGCCTGATACCGCTTCGCGAAAGGTCGCCGGGTCGACTGGTCGCGCCGTTGTGGTATTCAAGGCACCTGCCGAATACACCTTGCCGAGTGATTCCAAGAGACGCCGTGACGGTCTGCGTCTGCGTCCATAGAGTGAATACCCAAGATCCGATGTCAAGTCGGTTCCTTGTTGGCTTGGATTGACCACGGGAAGTGTCTCTTCTTCACGCTCAGATGGCGTTTCCTCTCGCTCACTCGACGGAGGTGATGGCGATGTAGGTGGTGTTGGCAGCCTGCTGGCTGAACTCGGCAGTGATGGAAAGACAGGTGATGGAGGGGCGTTGTCCGGGAGGTCGTTGCCTGTTTCCCCCTCGATGAGTGGCGCCACTGGGGTCCTCTCATCGAACTCGACATCACGGGAAAAAACAGTCTTTCTAGAATGGATTTCATACAGCTTGTACCGGTTTGGTTCACAATAGCCTAGCATTCGGCACTCAGATGATCTCGGTCCAAGTTTTGCTCGGTGCTCTTTAGGAATTAAGACCCATGCACGGGAACCGATCCGGCGCAGATGCAAGAGCGTGGGCGGCTTCCCATATAGAATTTCAAACGGCGTCTTTTTCTGTAAGATCGAAGCTGGAGCACGCAGCTTCAAGTAGACCGCTGTGTCTACAAGTTCGATCCACCAGGAAGGAGGAAGGCTCGCATCGGACAGAAGCGTGTTGACCCGCTCCCGGATAGTGCGATTGGTGCGCTCCGCCAGTCCATTCTGCCCTTTGCAGTAGGGCGGCGAGGTGTCAAACTCAACTCCCTGGGATTCGAGATGTGTTCCAATGGGCAAATATTCTCTCCCGTTGTCGGTGAGGAACCTTTTTATCCAGGCGCCGAACTGTCGGTGCACCCAGGCCTCGAAGTTCTGGAACTTCTGGAGCGCTTCATGCTTCCATCTCATGGCGTAGGCCCACGAGCCTCGAGAATAGTCGTCAGTAAAGGTGATCACGTACCTGGAGCCATCTTTGGCGACCGGCATCTCCATGATGTCCGAATGAATCAATTCGAAAATTCTCGTTGAATGCAGACGTGGCCGTCGTGCACGGGAGTTCCTCTTCAGATGCTGCTTACCCGACATGCACGCTGGGCACTGCGGCGTTGCCTGCAGCTGCGCCTGCGTCAGCGGTCGGTACGGAGTGCCGGTCTGCCGGAGGACCATCCGCAAGTCGCCCCGGTTCAGATGTCTCATCCGAGCGTGCCACAGCGCTTCGGAGGCCTGGTCCACTCCTTTGCCCGCATCTGCTTCGAGTATCACAGCTTCACCACCGAGTTCAGAGGTTGACGCTGTACATTCTACGTCACTTGACTCTCGAGGGTCGTCGACGTCCATGACCACCGCCTGCGGTTCCAGGGAATCTGCATGGTCATGGGTCGCCGGCGCCCTCGCCAGTTGGACTCGCTCTCGGGATCTCTTGCTCACATGGCACCGCAGGATCAGTAGATCCTCCTCCGCATGGTAGGCGGTCCCCACCGTCCGTCCTCGGCGTTGCACAAAGACGTTCTGCGGGTGCGCCACCACCGAATAGCGGTCTCGCAACAGCTACATGGCCGCGCTTCTTGCAGTAGTTGCATTTCTTGGTGTTCTTCTACACCGTATTGATGGAAGGGTTGCTTGTTCCGCTGGGGACTCGCTGCGGGAACGTCGCAGCGTCCTTTCGCTGCACCGTCTGCTCAGCATTCGCTAGACGGTTGCCAATAGTCGCTGGGTTGACGGGATCCTTATCATTTTGGATCGCATCCACGATCAGGATGTATTCTGGTCCGATCTGCGTGAGCAGAATCGCAATATGGGCTTTGTCGCCGATCGATCCAGGGGCAATCGTATTCAATCGGTGCACTAGCATCCGTACACGATCGACAAATTCGCGGGCACTGCCGCAGCGCTCGCCGGTGGTTTCACGAAGCTGAGCGAACAGCTCGCAGAACGTCGCAAGTTCCATCCGCCGGTACCGCTCTTCGAGCTCATTCCAGAGGTCGCGGGATGTCTCCAGCCCCGCGACATGGATACTGATCTGGGGGGATAGGTACCGGAAGATGGTGTGGTAGGTTTCGGCTTCGCGGCGCGACCATTCACGGTGGCGCTCGAATGCCTGGACCTCCACTTCGAGGCGCGCTTCGATGGCTCGTTGCCTCACCGCCCCAACCAGGTGCGGCTCCACCAGAGGGTGGATGTCCGCCGTGATGGGTTTGGCGTATTTGAACGAGCAGTCAGGACGCTCAAGGTCGCCCGACACGACATCCCAGACCTGCCTTGCCTTGAGGTAGGAGGTCATAAGACGTTTCCATGTTGCGAAGTTGTCGCTTCCTGTCAAAGGCTCAATGGCTGTAACGGCTCGGTCGGGCGAGTCGTGGACCAGAGCCGACATGATGGTTGATGTAAAGCGGGGTAGATATAATCACGAAAGATTAAGATGATTCTCAGATGAGTAGAGACGGCACCCGAGAGTTTCTCCCGGGCTCATAACCTGTTGTAGTTCAGAGGTATGAATTGTCTTATCATTCTAGTGGGAAACATGAGGCTATATATACAGCGAGAAGATCAAGTTGATTTCCAATCAACTTGGTTCTTCGTATACATACTTCGGGATTAATTCCGATGGTTCGGCTTGGTTCCTGATCTGCACCAGCCTCATATCACAACATTACCTACTAAAAGGCTTGGTTGTTTTCAGTACTCAATATGTCGGCGCAATATCAGTGTGACGGGCAATCTTCTCAACAATATGCTCTTATATATATCGACAGTGAGGGACAGCTTCGCCATGAGACATCACCCTCTATCTCAGATAGTATCCAGAATATTCTCACCGCAGAGGTCACGACTGATTTTGTCAAAGCTGTGGCAGATTCGCGTGCAGCCTGCAATGCCACAAGGCAGGCTACACTACCACCTGCCGCCGGTCCTGTTTTCCAACAAGATCTGAGATATGGTGCTTCTATTGCGGGCTTCGAATGGTCTCAGTGGTCTACATTAGACTTCAACAAAAGATCCCTTGTGCAGCCCTCTCTAGAACGATCAAAGCCAATTCTGCAGCAAAAAGAAAGGGAACGTATGAAAAAGCATCTTCAGGCTCCCCAATCTCGGTCCATATCAGTGATGGCAAATTTCTTCGTCAATACTACGCAAACATTTTCCAAAAATTGCAGCAAACGAATTGCCGAATTATTGCTAAAGCCTTTGTGAGACTGGTCGAGCCACGAAAGCAGATTTCCTATGCTTACAACGGTCGAAAGACTGTGGCGGGCGTAAGGCGGCAGCTGAGTCCCGAAGAAACAAAACCACCTTGGTGGCCGGCTGGAGTGAGCCACTGAGAGCCAGACCATCTTCCCAAGGCCGGTGAGAAAATTTGCTGTTCCCCTGGTGCTATATCGACTGATAGCTTAATAGAGCGAATTGCACTTCTCATTCATATTCTTTGCGATCTACGCACTAGTCACCTCATCACAGCGCGAAAATTAAAAGACGCAGAGCAATGTGTCAGACGGTTCATTTCACCGCCCGAACGACTAAGACTGCTAGACGAGCTATATGTCGTCAGGGAAGAGGAAGAGAAGTTTCTAGACGAAACAGGTAGGTTTTTGCAGCTAGACAGAGGAGCACGGCTAACAAATTCTTAAAAGACAGGAACAAAACAGTTTTCATAACGGAAACTGACATTCCCAACCATTCAAAAGTTACGAAGAGAAAGCATCAGAGCGATTACCCTTCCTTACTCGATGAGGAGCACGAACATACGTTGAATCGTCCAAGCCCTGCGACGAGAAGATTATTTCATCAGAGAATCGCGACCAATTTGCAACCCAAGAAATATCCTGTGAGAATGTCTTCTACTCATCGGGAACCTCTATTTCATCCTTTCATAGCCGCTGGAACTTCGACATCTTCGGTCCACAATTGCCCGTATGCTTTATCTACAACCGCGAGCATTCCTAAATATGTCAACCAGTCCAACCTTATCCCAGGCCAGTTATCATTATTAGAGTATGCTAGCGACATATCTAGCCTTATGCGACCATGAGAGACAACACAATGCTCCGCCTTTACTTGGACTTTTTCTTTGATTAGCAAAGGTTTACGTCATGGATATAATACTGGAACTGAACAATCACATAAATCGCGCATTGCATGCTACGGAAAAGCTTGACTTCTCGGAACGTATTCCTCAAGAATCTCGCCAAAAACTGCTTGAAATGGCTGTAGATTTTTATTGTCCCAAGATTTGAAACTGTAAAGACTCATTTTTTATGCCGAGCACATGTTCAACGGACTTAGAGCCTCGTCGGGGCCTCTCGATGAAGTGTTGAACACAATTTTGTGAATCCTTTCTCATTATACAATTCACTATTCATCCTCCAAAAAATCCTTATAAATTTCCATATAGAAATGGGGATGATCGCGACTTGTACATAAATTAGTTTCGACAGACCATTCTGAGTTGTCTGACATGGAGTGGTCACCACTAAAACGGAAGCCGGCGAGAGCTTCTCATACTCCGAATATCCGATGAAGGCGGTATCGTGATGAACCAGAGTGTCTCCAATGCATTTTTACAGTGTGCCAAAATTTGCGATTAGTATATTTCGGTCCTTGTTGCTATCAATACAAGCATTCGTGCATGAAAGCAAACTAGCCTAAGTAGAGAACCTCACCGCTCCATTCTCGGACGTTGGATAATATAGATCGCAAAGTAGGACATGAATGTGATAAATGGAGTTATTTCGAAATCCAGATATGAAAATTCAAATCTGATTGCTATCACTCTCCCTGACGGCTTTATTATTATCCCGTCTGTAAAACACATATACACCTCATTTTTGAATGCATCGTGTTCAAGCACAGAGCGTTTTCGAGTACAGCCTGTTATTGAGGTGCATCATGTGTGAGATTATGGGATCATGAAGGAGGAACGAGATATGAGAAAAAGGGTTTCCACCGCTTTTGATCTTTCGACTGGGGAAGAATACGATATTTAACAGGTCATTTATTTTATATCACAGGTGAAGAGTTCTAGAACCGGGTATTCTGGCAATTATAGTTTGCTGGGCGCAGAAACTTGCAATTGCGGTATTTTATGTGGTCTTCTAGGGAAACGTCATGGGAGAATATGTAGCGGTGACATATCTTGACTTGCTTCGGCTTAGACTGATCTGAGTGGGGCGCTGGGAAAGGAATCGCGACTGTCTGAGGGGTAAACTGTTTTCGAATTTTACTGAAGGCAGATCTGAACAGCAATGTTTGTCTTGGAATCTCCACTATTGCTTATGCCCCAAGCTTCGGATTCAAATCATATGGATATCTGTCATGATTGGTTGATCTGGCAATTGTGCAATGGCTTCTAGGTAGGACTGGATACAGTTGAATGCCGTCTCATCGGCAAACCTCCCTCCAGAGTAGCGCGAGCTGCTCTTCCTTTCAAATGACGGACTGGAAAGGGAGGGTCGACCGAGCAGAATATGAGCGCGCTAGTAATTCAAAGCAAGAGAAGGATCGGAACGGCGATTCGCCTTCAGGTATTTCACCACCTCGAAAGCGCAGAAAGAAGGGTGCATTGTTGACGCCCAGACATCAACTTTTTCGCGGTAGGAAGTAGGAAGCTATACGACTTTTAATGCGGCTCCAGCCTACGCGAAGAAATCCTGTCGCATATACTTCGTTGATGATACCGTGAGATGTTAAAGCCAAATACGCCATGTAAAAAGGATAGATGGAATGAGAGGGTTTGAGGGATATACTGTAAGAAACGATCTCGCTCTCGTTTCGCTCTCCTTGACCAATGCACCATACGCTTGGCTCCCCTGTCTTCCAGAGCGGGTCCTGTGTCGAGTATCTCGGCCCATCGGGCTAGTATAAATGGATGCCAGGAGGATCTGCCGGCCGTTACTTATCCTACTTCGAATAATTTGCTCATTTTTATATGGTAAAGCCTTTACAGATATGTCAAATGCATGCGAACTGGTATCTTCTATCTTCAGAAGTAAGGACGACACTCACTAATGGGACATGCAGAAAATATTGTAGTAACATCACGTTAAGAGCTTATCCAAACTCTGGCCACCGATGCCTATGTCTATCTATATACTTAATATGGGTATGTATTTTGCAGTCCTAGACTTCTATTTCTCTTTAAATCACATTTTTGAAAGAGTTTGATCCTGCTCAAGAATGCCTTTCCTAAATAAGTAAATGCCATATCGAAGTAGCATTCTCGGGTCGTTTGGCATGTAGATCTCCCAAAATAAGCAGGATTGCGAGAAGTTCACAGTCACGGGGACCGTGAAATACAGAAACATCTTAAATATTGATCTCGAACGTGTTATCTTGCCTATCTTTGATTCAAGGTTTTCGCTTCCTCTTTTATTCTCAGTGTTCTCTAATCAAACGCTGGAAGTCTTTTGAGTCTTCACCCCAGCAGTCTGTGTTCAAATTGCAAAGTAAGCTCACATATTATCGCTGCTCCTCTGTGACACTCGCTCTTGACGCTCGCACCCTCCTCCCGCCCTCCAAAGTATAGACTCCAAAAGCTGAGCTCAAGGCTAGCCCAAAGACCGTATTTCGCAATGGCCCAAAGATCCGGAACTTTAAGCGAAGCCACGATGAAAACACCGAAACCGGCGCCGAGGAATGACATTATGGTAAGACCAGCTTCTTATCAACCCATCGAGGTTGGCTCTGTTTGACTATGAATGCAGGAAGCTGTCTTAGAAAAAGATCAACGGCGCCGATCAGATGCACCGTCAAGCACATGGAGCCGAGAGAATGACCAAATGAATGAAAACGAAATTCTGTTTCCACCTCAGCGGAAAAAGACCCGTAAAGAAAGAAATTCAAGTGAGGCTTTGAGGCATGCTACGAAATTGATGAGCAGAAGCAAATCAGAACACAGCTTCTCGAGGCCCTTCTATGACCATTTGTCACCTTCAGATACTTTCGAAGTATCAGAGTTCTTTAATGGACTACCTGAAAACACTTCTGAGTCATTTGAGCGGCTTATGTCAAGAAAAAGTCAAATGAAACATGAACATCGCTTCTACATGGACAGAAGTGACATCGAGGACTTGAACTCTCCTTCTTGAATACTCGCATACAAACCTTTGTGATAATCAAGAGTACCCAGCCTCGCCTTCAGCGACCTGTATCGACCTGTATCTCCATGTCAGTTCGTCGGCTCACGAGGGAAAACCTCTCCTCGGTCAGCGTCTCGCCCACAACTTCTGGGCTCCAATATCCTGCATAAATGTCTTTCTTTGGAATCCATTCTCACAGCATTACCTATAACTAGAATTTAAATTACCGGCAACGTTTGTATTCTGATCTGGGAAACGCGCCAAGGTGCGATTATCAGCCAACACAACTATACTTTCCGATCCGAGAGTTGGAATCTTGCATTTAATTATGGAATTGAACACTCATAAGGCTTGCTTCTAATTTCCATATGCGATACGCAGTTGTCACCGATTCCTCAAATTGAGTTGAGCAAGTCACACTGACTTCAGCAGTCATTGGTAGCACAATTGCTCCAGAGGGTGGCAATGGGCTCAACCTCGGGCACGAAGAATCCGCCAGATTAATATGTTTCAGAATGTATTTTAAACATCATCATTATATTGAGTGAAATAATTGTATCAACTTGCGGCCTACAGAGGGCTCTAACTCCGTTCCATCGCGGGCGATTCTCACCTCTCTGTTGGCATTCCAGGAATTCCTTAGATCTTGCGTGCAGTCGAAACGTACACGGTTCGTTGAGACCCATTCGACACCAAATGGGGTCCCCAAGGAAGAGAATTTTGACCAGGCTGCTTGCTCATACCCTATGCTGTTGCGACCACCATGGTTCCCGGGAGGCCTGACTTCCCAAAACACTGTTCCGCGACCAAGATCTCGAACGATTATCCCTGCCGGTGCCGTAGACGTTGCCAAAGTGGGAGTCACATTGAGTTCGGTTTTCGCTGAAGAATATTGAGTTCGTGGTGGTACCGTTCGTGACAGATCTTCGTCATCCGTAATTGAAGATGACATGCGCGCATAGCCAAAGTACTCGCCACTTTTATTCGCCGAGAAAATCAAGTAGACATTTTTCGAAGTGTCGTAAGCCTGGCTGAGTGACATTTCGTTATGAGGCTGGGTAGCCCAGATCCCAGTGTCCTTGCTCGCTTCAAGATCCTCTACCGTTAAACTCTTGACAATGAAATACCGATTTTCGGATGGATGAATCTCGAGCTTAGGCTGACATGCCGTCGGGCCGTATGCCTCATTACCCGGTGATTCTGTTGGCCAGATTGAATTGTGTTTCCGGGGGCCAGGCGACCTCTTCTGGAGCTCAGATATCTCCAAATCTTTGCGTAGCCGACACACGAGACGTGAAAATCGTAACTGGGAACCATGAAACCTTGTTAAAGCATCAATACAGGAAGTGGCAGATCGATAGTTCACGAAAGCACAATTGCTCTGGGATATCAAAAACACGCTTTGGATATCCTCAGTGGCCCCTTGAGAGAAATGTTCCTTTAGATCATAAACATCAATCGATGGCGGAAGATTACCAGCCCAGAGGGCATGTTCTGTTTTTTGGGGCTTTGTCGGTGGTCCTCTTCGCATAGGTGGGCTCGCGGCAGCCGAGGATTGCTTCGGCCCCATAGGATTCGAACCATCCACGACCAGTATAGAATTATTGAATCGGGTTGCTTGATCACTAGCCATTTTTCTTATCGAATCTCAGTTGAGCGCAGATTCTGGGCCGGCGCATTCGAGCTTGACCGTGTAGATGATGTTGAAGCTCAATTAGAAGGTCGGGTTGGATGACTCAAATTTGGTCAGAACTCGATCGAAGAAGGCATGAAAAAACAGCAATGGTGCCGACTGGTGCCGACTGGACAAAATGCGGACGAGGGGGGTTATTGTATGGGCCTAAGCGCGCTAGTTAACGCAAGGGGCGAACTAGGGGTCGGTAGCACAGCCCAACAATGTTTATATCGAAAGTGGGAAACTCACGGATCTCATGGATGTGGCGATAAAATCAATGTACAATAAGGGCCTAAGAAGCCGCGCTGTCAACTACCACTACCATCCTCGAAATCTGTTTCCCTTTCATGATGGGACGGAGCCCGATAATGGAGACTCAATTCTTCACGATAGACCAAAATACACATGAACGTCTCGGCCTAACTGGTAGCTACAATCGAATATACTTTTGTTCAAGCTCTTGCGCTACGGCTGGACAGATAGAATCTTCGGTACCAGACGTTTCTTTTTCCGGTAAACTGTTTAAGTCCAGAGATCCAGGTAGGACGAAAGCCGACTGAAACCTATCGCTGAGTCCAAAGGCCCGCACCAACCAATCAAAGCTTCGCTTACATCGATTACCCGGACTACTGAGTGGTTCGCCGCCAGAAGAGAATCGCCTCTGGATCTCGAGTCTACTAATGCTCTCACGGGAATCATTGGCGTTGCACGGTCAATTTGGTGTCCTGTCTAATTTCCAACCACCGAACGCGGTCGTCATTACTGATACTTGTTCTTTGTTCTGAGCTGGTACCGACCCTGACATTGCTGTTTATGTATACATTCGTGGACAGAGTGGCAGTCGTGCTATGCCTGAAGTATTGCATCTCGAAATACGCACGTAGGGTCGCAATCCGGGCTCTTTAGTGGTCGACTGACCGATTTATATCGATGAGGGCCGCGTTTCAATCCTTCGAGCCTCGATTCGGCCGCAAGCAAGAAATCACACAAGAGAAGCCAGATCAATGGCACATTAGTAACGAGAATTGCCATAGTAGCTTCGCAAATGTACTAACTTATGTAACCGTAAGAAAATCCCCGATGAAAATTTCCTTCTTTGTCCCTTCTCATCGAATATCATTTGCGCCGTTTATCCAACCTACACTAAATATGCAGACTGAACCACGCTCTTTGCATCTCACACATTGATTTCCGCCCGTGTATTATGACTTGAAACGTCGGTAAGAAGGTGCATTTCGACAGCTGCCTGGAGAAATCACGTTATTTTCTATACAACGATCCACCGAAAGTCTATACCTCCGAGCCATAATCGATGAAAAGTCGTGTCGCTCCGCATCCATCAAGGATTGCGCCTTCTGCAGCTCCTGGTCAAGAGAGAGAGCATTGGATTCCTTAGAGTTCATACCTCGGCAAATTTTCCCATCTCCTTGCCAACCTATTTAGTGGTAAGCTTTCGACATGGAAGGGTGAAATTCTGATTATCACAATCCCACTACATATTCAAGCAGTCATTCCACCGGTACTGAAGCTATCTTTCAATTCTTCGGAGCTTCTGAAAGCTTAATAAAGGAGAGTCGGCAAGAGAAAGCGAGAGAACAAGGGACTCTGCTGTGATATGGGGGTTGTGTAGATCAGGACCACGCCGCACCCTAAATTGTACAGTATCTGCCTGCTTTCGTGTAGAGGGTGTGACAAAACGTACTTTGCTGTGACCCCAACGCTGAGTGAACATAAAAAAGTCTATGATTGGGCTGGTAGGTAGCCAGAGGTGCAACATGACTTGATGTTTGTATAATTAGGATGGGACATTCATTGAGTGCAAGAAAGGGCTCATAATCGGTGAGTGAAATGGTTTGGCATGACCTATGGCATGACCACTTTTGTGCCGCCTCCTGTAGCGATGATGTACGGACCTGTGTTGGTGGACGTTGAAACGCATTGTTGGCGCTTTTCCGTAGTATCGCCGGGGGTGTTGAAACGGTGCCAACAGTCAGGGCAACTCTTTGGTGTACTCAATCATCAAGGAAAAGCCGCGATGCCTCCGAATACTGCGTCAGGTCAATGGGTAAATGTTCAACCAGCTGCAATCTGAGGGGCAACGGTGTTGAGACCCTCACAATTCGCAACGATCATCACATCCACGCAAGAATAAGGGCTGGGTGCAATGCTATAAGTATCCGAACAGCAGAACGGTCGTTCTCAAGCATTCCCTTGTCATCCTGGAGCAAAGAATATCGAACACTTCTCGACTTCGCCAGCTGCTCTCCTCCAGTATGGACCGACCCGACCCCCGAACTGTCATGTACTTGTGATCGAAGGGATACGAGTGAAGAATGTGAGATATGCCTGATATGGGTATGATGATATTCAGACTAATCGCTGGTCCTCCTAAGAAGATCCAGCTCCTCCTTTTGAGGGGATCCTCTGTGCGTATGCAAGCAGGTAAGCGAGGTGATGTATCAACAGGCGGCCCCGGTGGTGGATAGGCACCTCCTCCACATTTCCTATACCTCACTGTACGGTTGGCGTAACAAGTCATGAAAGTTGAAATTCTCCAGTGAGATAGAGTAGAAATATATTTGAACATGACCATTCACGCGTAGTTTTGCCGCTAAAAAGTCTGTTTGCCAGCCTCGCAGGATATAGGCTGAAGTCACTGAAAACAAAAGAAAAGGAAAAAGCTTTTCACCAATTCTTGGCCATTCCTTCTTTCACTTAGTCAAATAGAAAATCCCCGAACTAAAGTCTTATTACGGGACTTGAAGGTGTCTTAGGAAATCAGCTAATTGAAAGATGCATATCAGAATGTCATCTCCATACTTTAAGCTCTCGGTGTGTAGGCGGGTGATAGGTGATACTTCCTAGTAGCAAATATATAGGCTCGAGCAC